CCTGATTTAAAGTGTTAATAAAGCCAATAAAACTTCTTGTCCCTGATTTAAAGTGTTAATAAAGCCAATAAAACTTCTTGTCCCTGATTTAAAGTGTTAATAAAGCCAATAAAACTTCTTGTCCCTGATTTAAAGTGTTAATAAAGCCAATAAAACTTCTTGTCCCTGATTTAAAGTGTTAATAAAGCCAATTTTAAAAAGATGGAAAGGAAGAAAAAAAAAAGGAAAAGATACATTTTTTTCAAAAACTTTACTATTTCATTAGCAATATAAAATATTACAAAAAAAAAGTTGAATAAATGTTTTTAGTTTTTTTCTGTTAGATTATTAGATTAGATTCATGTATGAAAAAAAATAAGCAAACCTTCCACAGTAATTTCAATAACAGTTTCTGAAGATCTTGATGGTGATCCTTTATCAGTTGCAGCTACATTCAGGGTGTATTTTTTTTGCTTCCTGAATTTAAGAGTAGTTATTAAGGTTAAACTTCCTATGTTGGGATCAAGAAAAAAAACATTTTCTTGGTTTCCACCCAAAATTCCATAAGTGATCTCTTTATTAATGCCAAGATCCATATCAGTAGCAATGATCTATTGAAATTTAATTAATAAATTTTATAAGATAAGAAATGTTGAAGCAAAATATTTTTAAAATAAGAAATGTTGAAGCAAAACTTTTAAACATCCTTACAAAAAAGAGATAAAAAAAAAGAGAACTTTTTGAAAATTGTAAAATTAAATCTTTCAAAAACTAAAAATTTTAGAAATAATTATTGAGAAATAATTATAGAAAACATTATTTTGATTTTTAAACCATTTCTTTATGGTTACTAAAATATTAAAATGGTTAACATTTTTTTTTCTTAAAATTTCATTGTTTTATTGCATGAAATGTAACATACTATTATTGTATTAATTTTAAATGTTTGCTTTGTTTTTACTTTTCTTATTTAATATTTGTTTGAATTGTTTACATACTTAGTCAAAATCAATAGTTCAAAAAACTCCTTTTTAGTTTGAGCTTTAAAATGTTTAGTCATCTGTAAAATAATTATTTAATGGATCAATCTTAGAAATGCAACCTATTAAACTGTATTTTAAGAACTAGAACATATGTGAACCTACTAAACTGTATTTTAAAGACTTCAACATATTTTTTTATTTTAATTCACCTCCTTAAGGCCATGAAGGCCACTTCATTTGAGAAGGCTACTTTTAGTTGTCGTTACAACCATTTCTCAACTATATAACTCTAAATCATGAACCTTGAAAAACAAGGCTGAACTGAGAAATGAGTTGAGTGCAGTACTAATAGGGACGTGGTGGAGATCGAACTTGGAACTTCTAGCTTATAAGGCAAGGGCTACTACACTATTATGGCTGTGTGAACATATTAAACTTTATTTTAAGGACTGTGTGAATATACTAAACTATATTTTACAGACTTGAACATATGTGAACCAATTGAACTATATTTTAAGGACTTGAATATATGTGAACCTAACAAACTATATTTTGAGGACTTAAACATATGTGAACCTATCAAACTATACTTTGAAGACCTTGAACATATGTAATAAAAATTGACTTTAAAATATTTATACACAAGAATAAACTTTTGAAAAAAATGTAAATTTGAAACAAAATACAAGAAAAATTAAGAATAAATATATCAAAAACCTTTGTTATTAATGTGCTGTTTTTTTGATTTTCTTTAACAGTTAAAATGTATGGAGACTTATCAAAAACAGGACTGTTGTCATTAAGATCATTGATTTGAATTGTATACACAGCTGTATTTGATAAAGATGGATCACCCAAATCATGCACAGTTATATTAAGACTATAAAAGTCAATCTTTTCACGATCTGGTTGCTTTTGAGTAACTAACTCTCCTTGATTGTTGATAGTAAACATGTCATCTGTATTACCAGAAGTGATTAAAAAACGAACTTGAGCATTGAGACCTATGAAAATAAATATTCTAATTGTAAAAAGAAAAAAAAAATTACTAAATACTTTAAATTGCAAAAAAATAAAAACAATAAAAAAAAAACCTTCATCAATATCTACAGCCCCAAGTTTGGCAACCAGCGTTCTAGTTTTAACATTTTCATCAATATTAAGCTTTCTATTTCCAATGAATTTTGGAGCATTATCATTGACATCTACCACAACAATTGTTAAGTTGACTGAAGAACGAAGTGAAGGCGTTCCTTGGTCTATAGCAGTTATTACTAATTCAATAAATGGTTTTGTTTCTCTGTCTAAACTATTATCCAAGGTGAGTATTCCATTATTTCTATTGATACGTATACCTTCATTAGAACTGGAAATGCTGAAAATAATTTTAGCATTAATCCCAGCATCAATATCTAAAAGAAAAAAGGTTAAAATTTTAATACTAAAAGTAGCGGTAACAGCAGTAGAGGTAGTAGAAGTAATGGTAATAGTAGTATTAGCAGCAGCAGCAAAAGCAGCAGCAGCAGGAGGAGGAGTAGTTTTTAACAACTTTTTTATAATTATAATTTATTTTTAACAAATATCAGGGGCGACTGAATAAGCGCAAATTTCATAAGTATGAACTGGCATAAGTGTAAATTGGCATAAGTGTATAAGTTTTTAACTTATGCCAATTTGTACTTATGCCAATGTTTGCACTTTTTGGCGCACTTATACTTGCAATTTTTGGCGCACTTATGCCAGTTCGTACTTGTGCCAGTTTTTGCAACTACTTCGCACTTATGCCAGTTCACATTTATGCTGATTTTGCCAATTATACTTACTTATGCCAATGTTTGCAAAATCTTTTGGCACACTTATGCCAATTAGCACATATGCCAATTTACGCTTATGCAAGTTTTTGTAAAGCTTCACACTTATGCCAGTGCGCACGTATGCCAATTTGCGCTTATTCAGCCTCCACAAATATCAGTATAACTTTTAAACTTATATACCTTATATTTACAGCACTAATATTAGTTTTAATTTAAAATAAAATAAATTAAAGTTAAACTTTTATAAGCGTTTTTCATTGATCAGGTTATTTTTACTTGGATATTATACATTTTTTAAATGGCATTTTTCAACATAAAAATTATATGCAAAAAAAGAAAACCCTATTACAACAACGTTTCGAACTCGGATTAAAGAACATTTTTGAATTGACAAAATTAAATATTTACAAAAGTGCATTATTCATCTGTTAGTCTGGAGTAGATGTATTTATAACATATTGTTTCCAGTTTAGGATATTGAATGCTAGGTCTTCTTGACTCAATGCATTGGGTGTTGCTTGTGTCTCTGTTTTTATTTATAATGCAACTTGTTCAATTATCTCCTAATAAGGGTACAGCTCTAAAACTCTGTTTTATGGTTATGATCAGGCTTGTAATCAGGTTTTACTAACTCTGAGGTAGCTCTCAGAAGCTGATTTCATCAACAGCTGTAAATTATCAGAGTACTAACAGTGCCATATTGCACACCATATTGCGCATGGATGGTGTCACTGTTTGTACTTTTAGTGTGGATTGTTGAGGCTACATTTGGAGCCCTTTGTTACTTCTTGAGATTTATTAAAAATGAGGCAGTTGTTTGGACTATTAAAAAGTGTAATGAGTAATATCTGAGCTTCAAGTCAAGTTCTTTAACAAATCCAAAAATGATTAAAGTACCAAAAACAATAAAACACAAAAAACCATCGTTATCACCAAGTTCTCTAAACCTATGATTCACTAATATTTGTAGTATTCGTTGTAACTTTTCTTCTGTTGAATCTTATCTCTTGCAAAGTTCATCTGAACTATTTGATCTTTGTGAGAATAAACTTGAGTTCAGTTGAGTTCAGCAATGTTGATGGTAATCTTCCCTTAGTCTTTAATGATGATATAGTCAACAAACAGGTTGACATTTTGATTAATATTCATATCACTTCAGCTTCTGTATCTAAAGTGATTTCTTAGTTAGAATCTTCTACATTTGTGATCCGGACAACATACCTGTTGTAGTGTTTCAGAAGTGTTCTCTGGAACTGTCTTCTACACTTTCAAAACTATTTAACAGAGTTGTTCTGGCATGTTGTAAAGCAGTATCTGTTAACCCTATTTTTAAAAATTCTGGAGATCTGACTTGTTTAACTACCGTCCCATTAGTTTTCTTCCTATCATAAGCATTATTACATTATCTCATTACATCATCTCATTATCTCTCATTTCATCTTGTTTTCCTGATTCATATAATTTGCAATATTGGAAGTTGTCTGTTAATCGTTATCTTGATTTATAAACTTCATTTTTTCTCTTCTAGTAACTTTCAACTCTAATAGTGGTTGCTTGCATCTTTGTTGGAAGTGAACATGTTTAAAAAAAATTTTACCAGTATTTTTTTTTTTTAAATCACAGTAGAAACTTTTTTTTTTTTTTTTTTTTTTTTTTTTGTTATTCACCTCCCCAAGGCCGAGAAGGCCACTACAGACGAGGAGGCTACTTAATTGTGGTTATAACCCTCTCTCAAATCTATTACTCCGAAACACAAACCTTGACGAACAAGGCCGCTGCGCGGAGAAACAAGTTGAAAAAGAAAAAAAAAACATAAAAAATTTTATATTTTTTTGCTTGAATACCAGTGATGCTTCTTATCAAACATGCTCCTTATTGAACTTTCAAATTTAGAAATAAAGTACATAATTATTAAATCATGTAGTAGAAGCAATATAAAAAATACATTATTATTAAATCATGTAGTAAAAAAATATAAACCAAGTATACAATCAAACAAGTTAACAAGCTTGTCAATATACTATGCAATCCTATTTTAATTATTAACAAAACAAAATAGAAAACAAGTTTTTACTTGCAGAGCCTTCAAACGAATCAAAAACTAAACTATGCTGAATGAAAGTCATCTATTTTTATTTTATTTATAAGTTTAACATTGCATAATTTACAGACATACCCTAACTTGAAAGAGAAATGGATTTTGCAGAGTGTTTTTTTTATAAGAAAAGACATTTAGTTTCAATCTGAAAAATCAAAAAAATACCTTAAAAAAAATAATTTTACTTAATTTTTTTTTATACTAATATTATTTTTTTGTTTAGTTTTTTATTTTATTTTTATTTTATTTTACAATGTCATTTAGCTACTTGCCATACCGATACCGAAGTTTTATGAAAAAGTATTCCCAAGTGTATTCCCAAGTGCCAATACAAGTTATGTTTATTTTTAAAATATAAATTAGAAAATAAGTTTTGAGTTTATTAAAATTATTAATTGAGAAATTAAAAAATATATTTGTTTTTTTGGCATTATACTTCTAATTGAGAGGTTAGGATTAACTTCATAAATCTGCATAGTTTTTTTTGTAGTAAACATATCTGGTTTAAATAATTTATTTATCTTTTTAAACCCTCAATGCAACAGTTACACTTTTTACAGTACCTGGCTGAAATGCGTTAACTTATGTACTTAACAGTTTCTCTAATACTTTATGTGCGCATTAATCTATTTTTAGGCAGAGTTCTTGCTGTTATAATTGATTTAAGAATTCTTTAATGTTATCATTTTCTAAAAGCTAAAATGAAATATTGTTAATCTTCAACATAATTACTATAGCTATATAAATATTGTTACAATTTTACAATTTTCAAATTGTTATAATACTTTTATTAATATTTTTTGAGAAGATTATTTTTTTTATTCCATGGATATGTTGATAATTTACTTTGTTGAAACAGAAAAGTTGTTTCATGAAAGTCTAACAGATAGAATTAACATACTTGATATGGCCCCTCTCCCTATATCAGTCAAAGTATGTCATGGTATGGACCCTCAATAACCTCAAATATATGACCTCAAAATCAATGTATGTATAGGATGTACCCTCACAGCTCATTAAACCAGTACGCCAGATTGCAGATCTAAATGTGCTTTTATATTTGTTTACACAAATATACATATAAACATATGAGTGTGTGTAAATATATGTATATATCTCTTGATATATGTGTGTGGGTGAATCAGGAATTAAAATCACCCTCTTGTCATAATCTCTTTTACTGTTTTAGGTGTTAAATGATTGGAGCTAGTAGCAGTATTAAAAAAGTCTGATGAAACTTTATTTTGTGACCCATTTTCCCCGTCCTTAATTTCTTTGTAAATTAATATAGTCTTAATATAAGGGTTGAAACTATTAAATTTTGAAAAACAACAGAAAAAATTGCCAGGCAACTATCAAGTTATGCAACTATTATCTATGTTTGAGATACTTATGTTATGTGTTTACATAATCAATAATTTTACCTTACACATCTAAAGTTGTAAAGAAATAATTTTCTTTATTAAAGTGGAAAGATATTGAATTCAGATTTTTTCTTTTAAATAAATAAACGAGGTGAAGTAAGCTCTAAGTACACGCATTATTTTTTTTTTTGCTCTTAGTAAAAATAATTTATTTTTAATGAATTAATTTCTTTATTTAAAAAATATTGAAAGAATTAGTATAAATGGTTGTTGTGGAAACCAAGACCTTTTACGAGTCGCTATTTAATATTATTAAGCCGTAATACATAATTATAGTAGATTCTTTATTCTCTACTACTTTAAAAATATTTTTAAAAATTTGTTTAGAAGGTAAAAATAAAAAAAAGGAGATGGAAAAAAAGGATAAAAATTTTATTTTTGCTTTGTGTTGCAAAGTTTACAGCGCTCAGCCTAACAAAAAGAAAACAATTTAATCTTCAAATAAAAAACTTAAAAATTTGATAATAATGACATGGATATCGACTTCATGGTTAGATTAAATAAAATTTATTATGCATTACACCAATTAATTTATCATTTGTTGCACAAGAATTTACTAGATGCATAACATTCACAAGATTTTAAACATAACTAAATCACATGATAGTCATGTGATCTAACCATGTGATCACATGACTAGATCATATTTCATTTTTGAAGTAGATGACATGGAAGTGATAAGCTGTAGCTTTTAGTGCTAGCAGGTTCATTGGTGTTAGAGCCACGATATTCTGTGTGATGAGCATTTAGAACTCTAATAAAAACAATATTGGCAGAGGGATAAAGAGAAAAGGCATGGTCAATTTGATCAGAAATTATATTTAAAAGAATGAAGTCTAGAGAAGAATGAGCACAATAAAAAATACTAGAATTTACGAATTTATTGTGCAAAGATTTCAGAGTTCAAAGAATTCTTTTAGAATTTAATGTACTTTTTTATATTAGATTTCAAAATATTGTTTTCTGAGTCATAGGTCCCTTTCAATAGGGTACACCTGTATATATAAGTATAGACAATTCCATCCATTAAGTTTTATTAAATTATCTAAAAATATTTACAAGAACCATTTTCAAAAATCATGTTGACTTTTTGCTTGACAAAGTTAATTTTCTATTACAGAATGCCTTGACTCCATTAACCCTGCTGGTACTTGTTTATTTTTTTAATCTCTTACTCAGATAATCAACTTTGTGACTTGTTTTCCAGACATAAATGATGGCAATTCCATATGAAGCTCAGAAGACAACCAAACAGGCTCCCAAAGTTACGACTTCTTGCTTCTCTCAAATGTCAATCAACTTTGAACTTTGTCCCAAAACCAAGAGAGCTTTCAAAAAGAAAAAGAAAACTCAATATGAGACAACAAATTTATGTCACTGATCCTAATGATTTGATGGCCAAAGAGTTGAACTGCTAAGTTACTAGATTCAAATCAAAAAAATTTATTTAAATTAGAACATACATTAAAATTAATCAACTTAACATACATCAATGGAATGAAAACTGAGACGAAAAAACTTTGAGATTCTGAAAGTATAGGCTTTGATTTGATTTTTAGATTTGAAAGCGTTTTTATAGTAAAACTTGAAGTTTTCTAAGTTTTTTTTCTGAAAAACTTAGAATACTTACTAACATAGTTTTATATTAACAAAAAAAAATGATAACAATAACAAAAAAATAGTGCTCAATTTTTGTTAAAATAAAAGGCTGACCGAAAAATATGTATAGCGGTCATGTTAAAAATTTGACTCAAAAAAAATTATGGTATTAATTTTTATTAATAAAGTGAAATTCTAACTAATTCTAAAGTCAATAAAATATATTTTATCATTTTTTCATTTTAAGTTTATATAAATTATTTTCAAAACACCTGTTTATACCATAGGGAATCAAAGTCAAAATAAAGTATATAAACAAAAAATGAAAAAACTTCTTTAAAGTTTTTTCATTTTAAAAAAACTTTAAAGAAGTTTTTTCATTTAAAATTATTAATTATATTTAAAAAATTTTGAAATTATGAAAGAAATTAGGAAATATTTTAATTTGTTTATTGATGAACATTTTTTCATTTTATGTATATGTTTTTATTTTAACAAAATTAGAAAGTTATGAAGAAATATATTTTAGTGGGTCACTAAAGTATGAATATATTTTAGTGACCCACTAAACTATAATGTGCTATATATTATATACTATATACTATTTATATTTATAGATTTATTATAGTGACCCACTAAAATATATTCATAAACCTTCATACACCACACTTACCATTCATGCAACACACTAACCATTCATGCACAACACTCACTGTTTGCACACCACACTTACCATTCATGTACCACACTAAACCTTCATGCACCACATTCATCTTCATACACCACACTCACCTTCATACTCCACACTTACCTTTATCAACCACACTCACCATTGCAAATAAATACATTTTTTAAAGGTTAATAAGTTTTTTTTAGTTTTTTAAACAAGTATTTTAATTTTTCTTTAAAATAAACATAGAATATAGAATAAATATAATATGAGTTATTAAAAATTAGTAACTATTTATAAACTATATTTATACGACCAAAAACACACAAAAAATATTTAAGAAACTTACCATTTGCTGTAACTGCACACAGTGTAGCATTTTTAGGTAAATCTTCTTTAGCAAAACACTTATAAGAAGATTCAGAGAATTTTGGATAATTATCGTTTAAATCATTTAAAACCACATTAATAATTGTGAATGCGTGGAGTGGGGGTGTCCCACAATCTTTAACTGACACTTCTAAAGAATAACTTTCTTTTGCTTCTCTATCAAGAGGCATTCTTGTTTGTATTGTGTTACCTATAATTTTAAAATACTGTTTATCAAGAGAAACAATACTGTAGATTAGGCTGCATGGTGTTGTATCTGGATCTATAGCAGTTAAATTTTTTTCAACAATTGTGTTTTCTGGTTGATTTTCATTAATTCTAAAATTGCAACTTCTTGGTATCTTACAATTTACAAACTCTGGTGGCTCGTTCACATCAGTCACAGTTACAATCAGGCTAGCATTTCCAACTAGTACATTAGCACCCGAATCAAAAACAACTAACCCAATTGTATAACTTGATTTAGATTCATAATCAAGAGCTTTGTTTGTTTTAATTATACCTGTTTTGTTTTCAATTTTAAAAATATCTTGATTTGAGCCAGATAGTTCATAGGTCAGCTCAGCATTTTTACCAGTATCTTTGTCTGTAGCTTGAACCTAATAAAAACTTAAATTTAAAATAAAATAACATATAAAAAATGACATTTTTTGTGCCCATAGGCATTATGTTTTTATAAAAAAAAATATCCCTGCAAGCAACTTTTATAGAGAGCGAAAAGTACATTAACAAATACAGTGCAAAAGTGCTCGACTGAGGGCTTGGTTAGGGTCAGTAACAAGGTCAGGCTTAGGGTTAGGGTTACAGCAAAGTTTAAATATTGTTATATTACTGTAATTAATTGTTTTTGTAAATAGATGAAAATAAAAACGAAATATAATATATAACAAATAATAAAAATAAATATAGAAAATATATTTTTAAAACAAAATAATAAATTTGAAATAAAAATAGAAATAATATGTATAAATATAGAAACAGTATGTATAAAAATAATTATGATAAAAATAGTAGAAAAAAAGTAAAATAAAAAAATATTATGGTAACAAAAAAAACATGTCCCCATAAACCCCAACAAGAAGTGTATATATATACATGTGCTATATAAAAATAGAGCTAGAAAAGTAGTGAATGTATTCATTGCAAGATTTTCTGTTAAGTTTTGTTAAATTACATCTGTCTAACACATTTCAGTTTTAAACCAGCTTACTTTGAGGTTATTTTTTTGGCAAAATTGAGTTCTTTGTTGTCTCCAGTAGGCCCAAAAGTTTTGTCCACTTTAGGTTAAGAGGACAATGTGCTATTTTCTATAATTTCTGCATCTGCATCTGTATTTTTAGATGGGTAAAGTTATTGGAAAATCAAATTTAACAGCATCACTGAAGAAACGCATTGCTGAGTTAGGTAAATTAGGAAAGTCTAAGGCTGAAGTAGCTGCTGCAATTGGCTGCAATGAGAAATGTTATACCATGTTAATAAAGACACATAGAAAAAAAATTTCTATGTGTCTTTATTAACATGAGAGTATGTTTGATATACAAAAGCACATTTTTTAATTGGAATATATCTATAGACGCAATCAGTTTAATAGCGGTAATTATTGATTTCTAATCACTTTTACACAAACAAATTGATAAATTTTAGTGTAATTTGATCTTTTGCTTTGCCAGTATCATTTTTATTGCATTTTACAAAATGCCTAAAGGAAAGTATTTGACAGTTGCTGAAAAAATACAAATTAATTTATATCGTGGCTCAGAAATCTCACCAGCACTTTTTATACGAGAAATAGCAAGAAAAATTGGAAGATCTGACCATGTTGTATGAAACTTCATTGCAAAAGGTGACAATTAAGGTGTAAAAAAAGCAACAAACGGCAACAAAGTATTAGCAAATTGGCAAATTAATCGAATTCGCTTCGAAACAAACAAAAATAAATTGAATGCAACACAAATAAAGGATAAGTTATTATTGCCTGCCACTAATAAACATGATGCACATATTCTATGTACAAGACCAAACGTAAAGTGGAAGAAACCACACCAAAAACCAATGTTAAAAAAACACCATAAATTGGTAGACTAGTGGAGTCAATGAAAGGCAGAATTTTTGAGGTGATCCAGTGTAATGGAAGACATACGCATTACTAATTTCTATCTTTTAATGTCAAAAATAGGACTGTGTCTATAGATATATTCCAATTAAAAAATGTACTTTTGTATATCAAACATACTCTCATGATAATAAAGACACATAAAATTTTTTTTTTTTTTTTGATTTTTATCAGCCCACAACACAACAATTATTTTGATAATAACTTGCATGCATATCAGTTGATAATTCATAGAAAAAAGTTAAGATAAAGAGAAAAAAATTAACGAAGAAAAAACAATTTTTTCTATGGTACTTTAAGTTTAATACATGTAAGAAAATCCTCAGCCATTGAATTCAAAATCAAAAACAAAAAAACCCATTAAAAATTATAAAATACTGCGTAGTTGGATCTTTACATTGTTTGAAGAGAAACTTGATGGCAACCAAAGAAAAAACAAAATATTAGCTAATCACCAATTTCAAAAAAAAATAAAAAGAATTTATTCCTGTCTGCATTTTAAAATCAACTCATTTTGCTTATTTAACAAGTTTTCACATTTATATGTTAAAATAAGGAACTTTTCGTATAAGCAGAGATTAAATTTTTACCAAGGAGTTATAAGGATTGTAACATTTCAAAATTTTCCACTTAATTAAGGGTGTAAACATTTTGCTTTTTATGTCCCAAATTTTTTTAGACAACTTGGTATCATTTTTATATTTACTAACGTTAAAAGATAATAGGTGATTATCATATCTAGATTTGAATGGAGTTTCACATAAGCCAAAATATACTTTTTCTTGGAAGTCAGGTTTATTTGACGACACAGTGGCTTGATAAACAATGTTCTTTGTCAAGCACTGATTGTTCATGGGGCAGATGTATTTGTTAAAACAGTTCCATGTTTTCCCCTCATCTTTAAATTGGCTATATAATATCCTGTGATTGAGCGGATTAATGGTGGACTTGATGTTTGACATACATGAGTAGCTTATTTTATTGGTATTTCAACTAAATATCTTACAAAGTTTGTGACCAACCGGAAAGTGCAGGTCTATCATGTTCAAAAAACAACTGCCTATTTTTGATGCAACATTGGTACTGAAAGGTGGGTTGTACCAGATTATGTTTCACTTGCGATTTTTGAATGGGATCAGTTTTTTATTTGAATGGTAAGCAATTTGCAGATAAAACCTGATTTAAATAATGCATCTTGATAAAGAGAAATGGATTGCTTAAAAATATTTTCATTAGAAGAATTGGTTGACAACCTTAGTTCAATAGTTTGAGGAAGACTTTTTAGTATGCTAGGAGGGTGGTTAAAGTCAGCATTTATGTAACTGATGTATATATATATATATATATATATATATATATATATATATATATATATATATATATATATATATATATATATATATATATATATATATATATATATATATATATATATGTATATGTATATATATATATGTATGTATACACATATATATATATATATATATATATACATATATTTATATATATATATATATATATATATATATATATATATATATATATATATATATATGTATATATATATATATATATATATATATATATATATATATATATATATATATATATATATATATATATATATATATATATATATCAGGCCTTGTGATGAATAAAAACTGCGTGACGCATAAGCATGACATGATTTTTGATGTCATTAAATTCTTTTTATTTGCTTTTCATATTTATCGACATTAACTGCACCAATTTACTTAATTACCGCAAAACTACTTTAAATCATTAATGTAGAAATGTTATTATTTAAAAATGTTTTGAAATATTTCATTTTTTAAAATGTAAAAACATTTGTTTATGTTCTCGACCTTTAACACATTTTGTCTATACTAAACAAATAAAAAACATTATAACTAAACATTTAAAAAAGATTATAAAATATGCTAATATTTGATTTTTTTTTTCTCAAATATGTAATTTAAAGTTTTTCAAATATTTATTTTTTCTTTTTAAAAAGTCAGCGAGTAATAAACTGGAAATTTTAATTTTGTACAATTAAAAACTGTGCAACAGCTAATATTTTTACTAGCGATTTTATATAATATTATTTTATTTATTTTTATTTATTTTCATAAAGCGGTTGATAAGCACAATCACTTGTATTACTAAAAAACTTTAACGAACAATTTGAATAGATTTTTAATGTTTACAAGGAATTTTATTTTTGGTAAAATAAAATAAAATGTTAGAATAAAAATCTTATGGTATAAAAGACATATTTCAGCGAAAAAATTATTCTTAAAAATTATTCTTAAAAATTATTCGAAAAACTATTGACGTTCTATTTTTCAACAGCTGTTCTTGAGCGCGCTTCGTTGAGTTTCGGTAACTTTTAACAAAAAAGCGATTGTTATTAAGTAATTTTTTTCGAGTTACTTTTAATAGCTGTACTTTTTTATTGAATCAAGTAGAATACGTTTTAATATTAATCCTTTTATTTTTTATTTATTTGCGCTTACCAATTTTTAAAATGTTTACTTAAAATTACTCTTAAATACTTTAAATATGTCTAACAGTTAATAAATATTTTTAAATCTATGGAATAATTTTAAAACCTAACAAACCCCTGTAAAATAATTATTTAAGTTAAAAATCAAAAACTAAAGTATTTTTGTTCAATTTTATCGACAACTTTGCTATTGCTGAATAATTGTATTAAAATGTTAGCTTAAAAAGATTTAAACTTTTTTTTTAATCTGATTTTTTCTACTTGTAAATAATGAGCATATTTAATTTTTTTGTAATTTAAATTTTTAATTCAAACTGCGTGCGGTTTTTAAAATACTTTATTAAATGTTAAAATAATCGAAAATTACTTCATTAAAATTCCGCTAAAAAATATCTAAAAATAAAATTTTTCCACATCGCCCGACGCTTTATCGCAAGGCCTGTACTGTAAATATATATACATACATACACATATATACATACACATATATACATACATATATATATATATATATATATATATATATATATATATATATATATATATATATATATATATATATATATATATATATATATATATATATGTATATATATATATATATATATATATATATATATATATATATATATATATATATATATATATATATATATATATATATATATATATATATATATATATATATATATATATATATATATATATATATATATATTAAAAAGCTAAATAAAAATTAAAGACTAAAACAATTATTATAAGAAAAATGAAAAATTCAAGAAGAAACCTATTGAAAAAAAAAGACTAAAAAAATTTAAAAAATAAAATAAAACTATTGTATATATGAAAAAACTTTTAAAAAACAACCTGTATGACAAACTGATTTAATGGAGTATCTTCTCTTAGTTCTACTTTGTATTCTTGTTTTTCAAATTCTGGTTTGTTGTCATTTTTATCATCAACATTTATTACAATTGATATTAAACCTTTGTGACATTTATCATTTTTATCTTCAGCTATAACACTTAACTTATAACTAGATATGCTTTCTCTGTCAAGACTTTTATTTGTTGTTATTTTTCCATTGTTGTCAATTCGGAAGTCACCACTATTCAAACCATCTTTGATTATATAGTTAAAGCTTATTGAAAGAAAAAATGATAACAATTTTATAAAAAAAATTATTAATTTTTTTTATTACAGTCATTTATAACTTTATCATTTGTTTTAATTACCTTTCTGGATGACTTAATGTTTGTACAACCAAAACTTGGTGTCCAGCTATTTCATTTTCTGATATGTTAACAGAGATTTGATCAGTTATAAATAATGATTCCCATATACTCAGTTCAAACACATTGTAATCTTTTTGACCTTGGACAGCAATGTAAATGATCTACATAAAACAATAAGCATTTTAAAAGAATAACAACTAAACTCAATTTTAAATGACAGTTATGTTTGATGTAAGTACTTTTTACTAATAAAAAAAACTCAAATAAAATTAAAAACTAGGAAAATTTAATGTCTATTAAGCTAATTATTTTATTAAACAGAAAACAACACTGTTTATAGTTAATGAGAATTTTTTTTATGCAAAGTTATTAATTGGAAAATTAAAAAAAAAAAACATAAATGAAATATATATAATAAAAAATTTTATTTATCATCTTGAGAGCAAAAGAATATTTATGCAACTTTTGATTGCATTAAAAAAATTCACTTAAATTTCTATAAAGTTATAAATAATCTATAATTAATTTTTTTTTTATTGTTATGATTGATTTTTTCATTTGAAAAATGCTAATACTTTAAGCTTGAAGCAAAATCATTATAAATTAATTTAATTCTGTTAAAAAAATTTACGATTTAATACAAAACTAATTTAGTAAAAATGTATAATTTTATTCTAATAAAAAAATATATAATTTAATTTCGATTTTATATATATATATATATATATATATATATATATATATATATATATATATATATATATATATATATATATATATATATATATATATATATATATATATATATATACATATATATACATATATATATACACGATTTTTTTTGTATAAGCAACTTCGAATTTGGTCAGAACTCGAGTTGCTTATTTTTCAGCCAATTTCTATATCTTTTGCTTAAGTTTCTTAGCCTAAATTTCAGTGTTTTTACGAATAAGAGACAGAAACCAAACCAAAGTTGAACAAATAAAGTAAAACCAAAGTTGAACAAATTTGTCTGCTTTCTCTTACTCATGATCTTAACAGTGTTGTCAACAACATACACAACAACAACACTAGTGTGATAAATTTCTTTTAAAATCGTTTATCTAAAAGAAGCCATTACATTGCAGAGAAAAAAATTGCAATTTATGAGTTGCTTATGTTAACATTTGTTCAGAACTAAAGTTGCTTAATATTTTTTCACATCGAGTTTAGTTGCTTATAAACGAGTTGCTTTTACAAAAAAAATCATATATATATATATATATATATATATATATATATATATATATATATGATTTTTTTTGTATATATATATATATTTTATATATATATATATATATATATATATATTTTATATATATATATATATATATATATATATATATATATATATATATATATATATATATATATATATAGGTAGTGGTGTAGTGGTAGAGCGCTTGCTTCATAAACGAGTGATTCCGAGTTCAATCCCCACCACGTCCCTGGTAGTACCGCGCTCAACTCGTTTCTCCGCGCAGCGGCCTTGTTCGTCAAGGTTCGTGTTTCGGAGTTATAGAGTTGAGAGAGGGTTATAGCCACAAATAAGTAGCCTCCTCGTCTGTAGTGGCCTTCTCGGCCTTGAGGAGGTGAATTAAAATAAAAAAAAAAAAATATATATATATATATATATATATATATATATATATATATATATATATATATATATATATATATATATATATTAACTTTGATTTAAAAAAAAAAAAAATTTATTAAAATTAAATTTAATGTTTGGGTTTAACTTAACTATTAAATTTGTTTTAAAATGTTACTAAATATTGTTCAATATTTAAATTTTATTTATTTTCAAAAAAAATTGTTTTTTCAGGTGTTTTTTTTCTAAAGATTTTTTTACTCAAAATTAAATGTTAAATAAACGTGTTTTGAGGCTGTATCAAGAATTTGAACAAAACGTAAGTTAAACTTATTTTTAAAACGTAAGTAGAGCGAAGCAATTATTTTTTAATAAATGATCAACGATATAATTTAAACAAATGGTATTTGAAAAAATAATCATTGCTTTCAAAACAAAATTGCTAATAAATTAATAAATTTATAATAAAGTAGATAAATTAACGTAATTTTTTTATTTGTTACTCTCTAATTTTTTTAAAATAAAAAATCTTTAATAAAAAATAGTTGCAAATTTTTAAAATGATTATTTAAGAAATAATCATTTTAAACATATTTTAAAAAACATTATTGCTTTTGTGTAATCATAATTTATGTAGTGGTGGTAATAAAATTCTCCTCAGAATCGCGTTTATTATTACCGGCATTTCAAAGAGGCTCAGCACCAATACCTAGTTTATCCCATCAGAAAAAAGTATCACCGACATTTATGCTTTACCCGGCGATTTACGCCTACTTCATACGGCAGTAAAAAAGGACTTTACCACAAAACAGAAAAAACCCTAACTTCACCCAATTTTGTAAAGCACCAATATTGTTGAAGAATTAATGTGGAAATTGTTAGAGTAGTAAATTCAATACCAAATAATATAACAAATTTAAAATAAAATAAAATTTATGTAAGATAGTAAGATATATATATATAAAATAAAATATGAATAAAGTATTTTTAAAAAAATAACAAAAAACAATAAACTAAAATGTAAATGATAATATAAAATAATAAAAATTATTCTGATAGAAAGCCACAAAATACTCAACTACGCTGTTAGAGAAAACTTTATTAAAAAGTACAACAAATTGCTAAAACTGGTACTTTATGGATAAATAAAACTCAAGCCGATAAGATAGAAATATATATGAAATTATAAAAACAACAAAACCATACAAAGTTTAACGCTGTCATAAATACCTAGATTGAATGTTGCTAAACAATCAAAAAAACAGGTTTCAAATAAAATATAACAATAACAACAAAAACAGTAAACGAAACCAACATCAAACATCAAGAATTATATAGGGCGGGAAAAAAATCATATATGTATAAAAATTGACAACCTAAAAACTAACATTTTTACATATATAAATTCATTTAAACATACATTTATACATACATATACATTCATATATGCATACATACACACACCAATGGTTGTCGAAATAAATATTGCCTGTTCCAGTATAGAAGAGTCAAGTATTACAGAAACCAGCATAAAAACTCTATCACTGAACCATATCTAGCCATACTACAAATTACCTATAATAGATTTAACATCTACATATAGGATTTATATTATATTTTGGTTCTAAAAGCCAGCTCAGACATGTTCCAGATATATAAATATTCTAAAGTGGAAACAGTAACTGTGTATGTAAGGATATCTATACATTTTAGTTATATTACTAGAAACCAGCATAAAAAACTCTATCCATGAACCACATCTAGCCAGCCTAGCCATAATACAAATTACCTATGATTTAATATCTACACATAGGATTTATATTACCTTCTGGTTCTAAAAGCTAGCTCAGACATGTTCCAGACAGAGAAACATTTTCCTGTGGAAACGTAAATGATTATCCGTATCTATATATTTTATATTACTAGAAACCAGCATTAAAACTTTATCCCTGAGCATTAAAACTTTATCCCTGAGCATTAAAACTTTATCCCTGAGCATTAAAACTTTATCCCTGAACCATATCTAGCTAACCCAGCCATACTACAAACTATTCATTATGGATTTAGCATCTATACATAGGATTTATATTATCTTCTGGTTCTAAAAGCTAGCTAAGACATGCTCCAGAAACAAAATATTTTCCCACAGAAACAGCAATAATGTATGTAACCGTATGTGATAATGTATGTAACCGTATGTGATACACTATAATGATACTAAAAGCATTACGCAACAAAGAAAAAATAATTATATAATATTAAAAAAAAAAAAGTGTAAGCCAAAAAAAAAATCGTAACAGATGTGTATATTAGTCTAGTCTGAAAATAGTCCCAGTCTCCCTAGTATATAACATAGAAAGTTTAAAAAAATGCAAAAGTATGCATCAAAGGACTAGACCGAGCTGTCAAGCCCAAGTGAAATAAGAAAAAAATTAGGAAGAGAGAAAGGATAAATTTTAAAATATATATTGAACAGGTGTTCAGAACAAAAACAAAGGCACTATAGTAAAGCGTGTAGTAAAAAATAATAATGAAAATAGTAAACTTTTAATAAATAAATTAGATAAATTAATGTAATTTTTTTATTTGTTACTCGCTAATTTTTTTTACATAAAAAATCTTTTAAATTTTTTTTCTAATTTTTTTTTAATAAAAAATCTGCGCGGAGAAACAAGTTAAGCATGGTACTACCAGGGATGTGGTGGAAATCAAACTTGGAACCTCTCGCTTATGAAGTGAGAGCTCTCCCACAACACCACTACCACATGATATACATATATATATATATATATATATATATATATATATATATATATATATATATATATATATATATATATATATATATATATATATATATATATATATACATATATATATACATATATATATATATATATATACATATATATATATATATATATATATATATATATATATATATATATATATATATATATATATATATATATATATATATATATATATATATATATATATATATATATATATATATGAAAGGTCTAAAGGAAAAAACAGTGATGTCACATATTAACAATTTTTTAGTTATTATCCCTACTATGTTGTAGGTAAGTTGGTGCATCTTTTAAAAGATGGATATCAAAAAAAAAAGTTAGATCATATCTAAATTTCCATGTGAAAAAAAGGAGTCACAAGGGGTAAACCAGATTGGTTGAAAGTGGGAATGAGATTGAAATGAGCAATTATCTTCACATACAAAGGGCTTTCTGTGTAATTGCAAGCGTTATCAGAATTTTCAGAATACGACAGTAGAAGAGAGGGAGTTTTTACTTTTGTACTTTAACAAAATGCAAAGATTAATAAGACAACAAAACAGCTTTTTTGCTTCAATGATTGAGGTTTAAAAGTTAAACAAAGAAGACCTCGACAAAAAGAAGAAAAAAGAATTCTTTATGACCACTCATTCTCTTAAAACATCAAAGTGACACCAGATAATGTTACTTTTAGAGCACCAATGTTATTTTATGAATTTTTGGAATTGGAAAATCAAGAATAGAAAGAATAAGAGGATCTCTTGCTAAGACTGGTAAGTAAACATTTTTTTATTATTTATTTACTTTAGTCATCCAATTAAAATACATAATCCACAAAAAGTGTTTTAACAAAGTTTCTCTCTCAAAAATAACAACAAAAAGAATTTATATAGACTTAAAAGCTAATAGTTTTGATTAAGTTAATAAAACATTATAAAGCTTGTATATTTGATCATTTTTAAGGAGTTTTTTTCTAAAAACCAGCAAGGAAAAGATAAAAACTGACCTCTAGCCTTTTCAGACCGTATTGTAAATAGTATTATTGATCATATCAATTCTTTCAAAGGATGAAAAAGTTGTTATGCATTACATGACACTAAAAAGCTGTATTTACCGGAAGATCCTAATTTATCAAAAACATACAATATGTAAAAGGAGTGTTTCCCACAAAATAAAGTTTGTCAAGAAAGCTACAGGTACTTTAATAATGTGTGATTATTTAAAAACATTATTGAATATTTAGATACAAAAACTTAACATTAGCTTGGTTATCCTCATAAAGATACATGCTCAACATGTATCTTTACGAGGAATGTGGTGTACAAAAACTTAATATTATAATACAAAAACTTAACATTAGCTTGGTTATCCTCGTAAAGATACATGCTCAACATGTATCTTTACGAGGTATGCAGTAGTGGTGTAGTGGTAAAGCTCTCGCTTCATAAGCAAGAGGTTTCGAGTTTGATCCCCACCATGTCCCTGGTAGTACCACACTCAAGTTGTTTCTCGACCCAGCAGCCTTGTTTGTCAAGGTTCGTGTTTCAGAGTTATAAAGTTGAGAGAGGGTTATAACCATAATTAAGTAGCCTCCTCGTCTGTATTGACCTTCTCGACCTTGGATAGGTGAAATAACAAAAAAAAAAAAAAAAATGTGACAAGCTCAGTATTATACTTAAAAACCAAAGCATCTCTGTAGAACAACTAATCAAGAGCAGCCAAAAAAAAGAGCTTTACTTTTGGAAAGCAGAGGTGTTTAATGTCAGAAAGAAGCGTTTTGTAATGCAAAAACCTGCCATGCAGCTCTTGCATTTGACTTTGCTAAAAATAGAGTGATCCTAATGTTTCTACACTGATATTTATTATAGTAGACAATCATCTGTAGACATTTAATTGCATTAAATATATTCTATAGTACAATATTTAAAGTTATTAATCATTAGATGCACAAATTATAAGAAAATTTTAAAGATGAAAATGAAGATCGTGATGAAGATTGCTAGAAGGATGAAGTATTCTAAAAATGCGTTCAAGAAATATTTTTTTTCTATAATTCGACCAATTTTATTGTGAAAGTTCCTTATTTCATTGAAGTTTATAGTATAGTAGTTTATAGTAGTGAAAAAAAATGAAACAACAAAAACCATAACTAAAAAATAAAAAAATTCAAAACGTTATTTTTAAAGTTTTATACTTTTCATTTTTAGCTTATTTTTTTTTTGTTTACTAAAATAAATAAATGCGATATAAAAAATTGAAGACCAATATTCAAACTTTATTTTAGTATGTATTCTAAAAAATTTTCAAAATTTGTTATTCATTAAAGCCACATGTAAACAATTACGTTGACCAATTTTTCATTTCTTTTTTAAATCTAATTCACTTCAAATAATGCTGCAAGCAATTACTTTTAAGTAGGTGTTACTAAAAAATAAAAAAAGTTATAGAGCAAGAGAACTTGAAAAATTGTAGGTTGTATGAGTCAGAAAAACATGAAGATGGGAGAGAGTTCTAAAAGAATAAAGTGGGAGGAAAAAAACTAGATGAATAAAAGTTTCCTAAGCAAGATGAGATACAGTAAAAGATGTGACTTTGCTGAATGATGAGTCGAGCAAGAACAAATTTTGATTGATGAAACCAATCACAATTTGTTCTCGCACAACTCAATCAAATTTGGAAAATAGATCAAAACTAGATATGATAGCTCTTTTGAGCAGTGATCACAATAGTATTTGTAGTAAAAAGAAAAATATGTAACCTTACAATGATAGGATTCCATACAGGGATAATTAGGAGACTTATAGAAGTAGAAAATGGAATTAGGAGCAAGAAAGTTTGAAATCTTTGAAGATTCTAACTTTTCAACTGCAAATAGTTGCAGTTGCAGTTATAAAGTATTATATAACAGTTTTATTTGCAGTAAATAGCTTAATGGAATTAAAATTTAAAAAGCTATTGCAAACTCCAATTTTAAGTAATATATTATGGAAAGCCTTTCTAACTATCATGCAAGAGTGTATGTATGTAGGGGTAAATAATATTTATAATGCATAAAAAAACTCACAGTTTCACCAGTAGAAGGTAGATCTATTGATATTATTCGTGGTGATATGTTGCTTTCACTTTTGTTTACATCTTTTTCTTCTGATAAAGGCCCAGGATTTCGTAGCTTTATTGAAACATAAATAAAAGACAAGCCTGAGAAAAAAAAAATTCAAATTCAATGCCTTTTTTAATGCATATGATCAGCACTCAATGTAAATCAGCCTTTATATAAAAAAAATATATAAATAAAAGATAAATAAAAAATAAAAAAAATAAAAAATTAATGTTATTTTCATTTCAACACAAATGGGATAGGTATCTTGTTTTTTATATATTTTCTTATTACAGATTTTTTCAACTTATGAAGTAAATTTTTTTATTTATTAGTGCAATATAAACAATATTTAATAGTAAATAAACTATTTAGAATATAAACAATATTTAATAGTAAATAAACTACTTATTTGTGCAGTATAAACAATATTTAATAGTAAATAAACTACTTGTTTGTGCAATATAAACAATATTTAATAGTAAATAAACAATTTAGAAACCTTTTTTAACTTAATTATTTAAACAATAAAATTAAGAATTGAAGTTAAAAAAAAATATTTTAATAAAATTCTCCCAGTCAAGAGCAACTATATCAGTAAGGAAGGTTGTTCACTGATTTTACATAATTATTAGTTATAACATTCTTATAATCTTAACAAACATAGATGAATACAATTTATGGAAGAGTATAAAAATGATTGTAACGGACACAATAAATGTAAAACGTTTTACTAAAAAGAAACTGGAAGAACCACAATTCATTGGTTGTCAACATCAAGTTTATTACTGAGTCATTTTCGTAGTAATGGATAAAGAACTTGGAGAGTGCTCAATAAAAATGATAAAGAAATGATTATCGAAACAGCAGGATGACTTCATTTAACTTGGGTGTTTTGCTTTTTTGAAGAATCTGGAGTATTTTTTAGAGTGAGGTTTCAGAGAATTAAATAATGCAAGATGGAATTCGCAAGGAATACTAGCTCTTTTAATATTTATTTTTCTACCAGAGAGAAAAGACTCATTACTAGTCATTTGTAGATTTATCTCTTACAGATGGGCAGAAAATTAGTTTACTGACCAAATGTACAATGCAGATGATTATAAAAGCTATATAGCACCTTACATGCTCACGAAAAAAACAGTCAACTCAGTGAAAAAATTTTGGAATCAGAAACCATCAAGACTAAAAATTTCCAGATAAAATTTTTTTAATGATATTTCTTATTGTACTTGATAATTTATTTATTTATTATATAACACATAAAATACAGTTAAGTACTAATTTTTAATTTATTTATGTAATATTTCTTATCTAATATTTTTCGTGAGATTTTTATAGTACTAAGCTGTATTTTATGTTATATATTAAACAGATAAAACCAGTGTGCAGAACAAACAATCAAATGTCTTCAATATCTTTTTGACAACTGTAAAAAGAAAGAGAACCTCCGGAAAAGATTTTATGTTGTATAACAAAGTATAAAAAATGTATACTACGCTTTATTTAAATATTAAGCTGAATACTACACAACATTTTTTCAATATATATTACTTAACAAAAAAATTAAATCATAGTATTTGTGAAATTAAACATAATACATTTTTTTACTCAGTAACGCATATGATATGTAGCGAAGTAAAATACTTTAATTTAGTGAATAAATGTAATTCGTTACTCTCCATCTATTATAAACTACATAATTCTTTATATAAAAAAAATTAGAATTAAAAAATAACAATTTTAAAAAATTGTTTGAAATTTTATTGATGCACATATATTGTAAATTCAAGTTTTTGGTTTGAAGGTGACCTTTTTTAACAAGAAAATCAAATTAATGTTTTTTTTATTATTTTAGTACAAATATTCATCAAGTTATGACCCATATATATATATATATATATATATATATATATATATATATATATATATATATATATATATATATATATATATATATATATATATATATATATATATATATATATATATATATATATATATATATATATATACATATATATAATATATATATATATATATATATATATATATATATATATACATATATATTTATATATATATATATATATATATATATATATATATATATATATATATATATATATATATATATATATATATATATGTATATATATATATATATATATATATATATATATATATATATATATATATATATATATTAATAAAAACTCTTATTACTCGATATATCCAAATCAGTATAGACAGTGTAAGTCCTTGTGCTTTATACGCTTGTTTTACTTATTGTTTTCTCCGCTTACTCTCATCTTTCCGAAGCATTTGATAAAGTACCTTATCAGTGAATGTTTTACAAACTAAAAAATCATTTTTCAAGCTTTTTCGACTTTATTTGAAAAGGGCTCCAGAATCCACCCATCAAACTACAGACCAATATCCTATAGCTCAATTCCATGTAAAAAAATGGAACTAGTTAAGAAAGCAATCATGCAGCATCTAAAATCTTCTATCAAATAGTCAACATGGCTTTTTAGAAAAAAATCATGCATTACAAATCTCCTCTAAACTATGAAACAATCGATCTTGACTAGAAGTATGGCCAGGCAACTACAAGTTGACATCATATTCCTGGATTTTGCCAAAGCATTTGAC